TCCATCTAGCCCAGTAGCCTGTCTGCCGACAGCGGCCAACACCAGCTACCCCGGAGGGGATGGATCAAAGACAATGACAGAGCCATTTGTCTCATGCCATCCATCTCCAGCCTTCCAAAACAGAGGCCAGGGACACCATTTCTATCCCCTGGCTAATACCACTCCATGGACCCAGCCTCCATGAATTTATCTAACTTCTCTTTAAACTCTGTAATAGTTCTAGCCTTCACAGCTTCCTGCAGCAAGGAGTTCCACAGGTTTACTATCTGCTTTGTGAAGAAGAACTTTCTGTTATTAGTTTGAAGCCTGCTACCCATTCCTTTCCTTTGGTGTCCTCTAGTCCTTCTATTATGGGAACTAATGAAGAACTTTCCTTTATGCACCCTCTCCACACCACTCGTGCTTTTATAGACCTCTATCATATCCCCCCTCAGTCTCCTCTTTTCTAAGCTGAGAAGTCCCAGTCTCTTTAGCCTCTCTTCATATGGGACCTGTTCCAAATCTCTCATCATTTTATTTGCCCTCTCTTCCCCTCTCCCACCTCCTTTTCCCAGTCTCCCCGAGTTTTGTTAAATAAAGAGAGTTTCTATTTTTGAACACAATTGTCCTTTGTTTTGTACATCAGGAAGGGGGGCTAGGGACGGGTAAGTGGAAGGAGGTGAGGGAGGAATGGGGCATGAGCCCCCGATGTGGAGGACTGGAGTGGCTCTGCGGGCTCCTCGGGGTGGAAGCTCTCCTGCAGCCCCCTGATTGATCCCCCTTGGATGGCAGCCTGTGGCAAGTGCAGCCGGGCCGATGGCCGAGTGCTGTGATGTGCCGATTGCGGGCATTCAGGGCACTCCAAGCCAGGACTGCTTTGCTGTCCGTCATCGAGTTAGACAAGCGAGCGGGGAACCCCTGAGAACTGTCTGTCCGGGGCGGGGGTCCCTTTAAGCACAGCCCTCGGCTAGCTTTAGACAGCAGCTCCACGCTCTTAGTCCTAATCTGATGCCCTGCCGGCACTGCTTCCAGCCATCCTTAACCTCGGTTCAGGGTCCACTCAATGTGGACATGCTAGTTCGAATTAGCAAAATGCTAATTCGAACTAGTTTTTAGGTCTAGATACACTAATTCAAATTAGCTTAGTTTGAATTAACTAATTCGAATTAAGTTAGTTCGAATTAGTGCTGTAGTGTAGACATACCCTGAGGTGACTTGGTTCTGTTTGCTCCATTCCCATTATGCCTCTGACGCCATCCTCCTGTCTCACTGGGAGCTCAGTGGTGCTGTGACTCATGTCACTCAGCCCATGCCTGTTCTCCCCGACATCCTTGACTGCCAGATAAGAAAGTTGATAGACAACCAGTAGGGTTTTCCCAGCACTGGTCAGTAGGGTTTTCCCGTACTTCTCAGGGCACTGCCAAGAGTCCACGCTGTTAAGCACCAGTCAGAAGCCCATTTATGTAGTGTCATATGCATGGCTCATCCAGAAGAAGTGTGTTGCTAGAATGATCACTGCTGTAGAGGGAGATCAGACAAGGGGACTGACCTTTGAACATTTGCTAGATTTCTAACATTTAGTTCACTAGATTTATGAAATGTTCCCGTTTTATTTCTAGCTCTCTGTAGGTGATTGTTGCTTTCTTTTGGCTATGCTAAGAAATTAGCAAAATATAATAAATGTTCATGTGATAATTTTTCATGTGTTAAATCCATTTTCCAACACTTGGTAAGAACATTGAAAAGTTTGTAAAGAGGGGGACTGGTCGTGGGATGCTGAGCTTTCCACTACTCCGTTGTTGGTTGAAATCTAGCTGAGGTGAGCAACTATTTAAAGTGGCTATTTGACTCTTTGTTGGGGTTTAGGGCTTATTTCAAATGATATGGAAGTTCCTGTAAACATTACAAGCACCTTCACACCCTACAAAAGTACAGGACTCATGCTCTCTTTAAATATGGAGTGATCTTGGAAACTGTGTGGGAAAGGGTTCTGCAGCCTTCCAAGTGTCTGCTGCTACATACGTACATTGTTGTTTATATGAAATGAATTGTTCTCTGTCCATTTTCTTGCATCTTCTCCCTTGAGGCAGTTCTTCCAGAAGACAGTTGAAGGACGCTGCCACCGGGCAATGATAGAAAGCTTTGCTGCTTCTGCTTTTGCCTGATCTGTGTCTAACTGGAACACTCCTTTCTCAGTACTGTACATTTCTGGAAAGGAGGGAAAACTCAGCAAGGAACATATTTTACTGCTTATTCCACACAGTGTTAACTCTCCTCTCTCTACCTTATTTCTAAAGTTCCCAACTCAGATGACAGTCCTAGGGCTCTTACACTGGAGGATTATTTGAATGGAAAGTTTCAGTACAAAACATTTTTTCCATACTGGATTTCAAGTAAGTGAAGATATCTTTTGTGGCTATATTTAATTTTTTATATATTTTTCTGGTTGATTTATACATGCTGGGGATTGGTCTACACTAGAGAATTAGATTGGTTTAACTACATCAGTGAGGGATGTGAAAAATCCACACCCCTGAGTGGCATAGTTAAGCTGAACTAAGCCCTTTGTATACAGCTCTTGGTTAATGGAAGAATTCTCCTGTTGGCCTAGCTACTACCTCTCAGGGGGTATGTCTACACTACCCTCCTAGTTCGAACGAGCGGGGTAATGTAGGCATACCGCACCTGCAAATGAAGCCCGGGATTTGAATTTCCCGGGCTTCATTTGCAAGTGCGGTATGCCTACATTACCCCGCTAGTTCGAACTAGCGGGGTAATGTAGGCATACCGCACCTGCAAATGAAGCCCGGGATTTGAATTTCCCGGGCTTCATTTGCAAGTGCGGTATGCCTACATTACCCCGCTAGTTCGAACTAGCGGGGTAATGTAGGCATACCGCACCTGCAAATGAAGCCCGGGATTTGAATTTCCCGGGCTTCATTTGCAAGTGCGGTATGCCTACATTACCCCGCTAGTTCGAACTAGCGGGGTAATGTAGGCATACCGCACCTGCAAATGAAGCCCGGGATTTGAATTTCCCGGGCTTCATTTGCAAGTGCGGTATGCCTACATTACCCCGCTAGTTCGAACTAGCGGCGTAGTGTAGACATACCCAGGGAGACGGGTTACTTATGACAACAAGAGAAGTGCTACCGCATTAGAGTAGCACCATTGTAGCATTTAAGTGTATATGAGCCATCAGAGACTTATTTTCTCCAGGATGACTGTTGCTCTGACTGAATGCTCAGCTCATTGCTAAATTAAGGTATGAAATCACAGCCGAAGCTCACCCTTCTATGGCAGAAATTCCAGAAACCTCAAGTATCTAACCGATTGGAAGAAAGACAAGATAGGGATTGTAGGTTTGTTCTTAAGTTGAATTTGTATGTAAGTCGGAACTGGTACATATTGTAGGGGAAACTCTAGCCAAACATTTCTCCAGAGCTCAGTTTTATTCTCCCACCTCTCACTTCCCTCAGTCCTTTATTCTCAAGCTGAGGTGTCTGCTGAGAAAAGCCGCTCTGTGTCTCCCTCGTCTGCTGGGGTAGGGGGGGCGCTAGCTTCGCGTCTCCCTGGTCTGCTGGAGGGAAGCAGCTAGTGCGGGGTTGCCTCACCTCGTTTGTAAGTAGGGATTCGATGTAAGTCGGATCCATGTAACCCGGGGACTGCCTGTAATAGCTTTCATTTTCTTAATCTTGTATAAGGCATTGTTTTTTTGTACTTGATTCCATTGGATGCACTGAACATGCCATTCTAAAGACTCTGTTATCTTTTATCTTTCACTGAACTTTTATACTTTCACTAGATACTGATACTCTTATACTTGAGGGCCACACACTGCCACCCTTACTCACATTGTGCTCCTTATCCTTAAGCAGTCCTACTGCTCTCTTAGGCTCTGTCTTCACTGCGAGTTCTTCTGGCAGAAAATATGCTAACGAGGGACTCATTAGCATAAGTCATGATCTCATTAGCATATTTCCTACCATTTCTTTTTGCCCTAGGGGTTTTTGTGCAAAAATAAGCAGTGTGGACGGGGGTTTTTTTGGTGCAAAAAACCCCGTTTTGCATAGGATCCTTGTGCCTGTCCCAGAGGGGCATATGGACCTTGTGCAAAACAGGGGTTTTGTGCAAAAAGCCCCAAATCCACACTGCTTCTCTTTTGCGCAAAAACTCCTTACGCAAAAAGAAATGCCAGAAAATTTGCTAATGAGACCCGACTTATGCCAACAAGTTCCTCATTAGCATATTTTCTGTCAGAAGAACTCTCAGTGAAGATGTAGCCTTAGGGTAGAAAATCCTATACTCTTGAGAACTACAGAGTGCCTTTGGATGAGGCTTGTTTATTCAGACTTTGCATATAAGTCAAGGATTTGGCTCTATGGCCTGGTCTACACTAAAAGGGAAAGCCAACTTACATTATGCAACTCCACCTATGTTAATTATGTAGATGGAGTCAACTTAGCTTAAATCATGTTTTGGTACTGTCCACACAGTGGGTGATCAACAGAAGCAAACGCTTCCATCAACTTCCCTTACTCCTCATAAGGAGCAGGACTACTGGCGTCAACAGCTCTTCAATAGACCAGCTAATTCAAACCCTGAAAGATAGATTGTGGCAGCATCAATCTTCCACATAGTGTAGAAAAGCCCTAAGTGAGTTCTTTAATATACAGAATAATTATAAGAAGTTAAGTATTAAGCTCCTGAGATCAGTAGCACATGCATAATTAAGCCAAAATTTGGCCCATGTGTGTGTTATGGGGCCTAAAATGGACCAGTCATAATGCAGAGAAGAAATTGGTTTTATATCTATAAAGTAATTGCCATATCATGGTTGTGCAGTGTAATCTCAGCAAGTATCTGTGTGTCCAAAGGCCAGATCATTGCACAATTTTGTGCCATTATGGAATTACAAAATAAGGCAAAACTTATTTTTATACTGATTTCAAAAGACTTTTTCTCTTGAACTGCTCAACTGCTAAATAGGGGCTGTACTCAGATGAACACTTTTATTTCACAATATCTTCTGTATAAAGATTAATTTTCTCCCTCCCCCTCCAACAGGCCATGAATATCTTCATCAATCAGCAGAAGATAACATTATTCTTTATAATGTTGAAACTGAGAGCTCAAATACCATCTTGACTAATGACACACTTGTATGTATCATTTCCATATAAAAAATAAATAAAAGGTAGTTGCTTTAAAAATTTCCATGTAAATACAAATAGATTTAAATATTTGGATATGTAGTACATGAGTGCGGGAATCTAATCAACTTCTCAATCTTTCAGAAAAAAGTTAACGCCACAAACTTTGTTTTATCAGCTGATAAAAAATTTATAGTTCTGGAAAGCAGTTACACAAAGGTAATTCCTTTTTCTATGGCTTGACTGCAAATTCTGCTTTTTTAACATCTGATACTTCATAGGTTGAAGTAACATTACTTAACATGGGCTCAAGAAGCATTAACAGTAGATTAAAGGGGTGAATTAAAGTACTATATTGCGTAGAGTGGTGGGTAGGCCCAAGGGGAGCACTAAGAGGCATTATACTTCAGAGATGATAATGTTTTTTTCTGGCTTACTCAATTTTTGCAGCTTTGGAGACATTCTTATACAGCATCATACCACATTTATGATCTTGAATACAGGTAAAAGCTGATACCTGTTTCTCACATAACTATGGCCAGATACTCCAGTTATGTGTTTGCTTAGCATTTCCATTTGAAAGCTCTGTTCTGATATTCACTGTCTGGTTGTTGCTTCAGTCTGTCAAGTTGCCTGATGTTTGCTTAATTAGCTGGTGCAAAATTCAGAAATTTTCCTGAAAAAATGTCCTATGGGAAAATCCTCCTATTATTTCACCACTAGGCATCTTGGGTCATTTGATCTGTGATTGCCTAAATATTTGACAACTCAGAATTCTCTAGTCCCTCCTTCTGTCCTTTATCTAGCTCCTTTATTTGATTTTCTCTCCATTTTGACTGTTCTCTTACATCCTTGCAAAAGTGCTGGCCAGGGGTGAAGGGAAGAGGCCACTGCAGCCTGGGTGCTGAGGAATGTCATGGTACATGGTGCTGTGGCTGCTCTCCCGAAGTACCCAGGTACTGCTGATGCTTTGCAGGTTCCTCAAAGGTGATGCAATTGAACTTCCATGTGATCACATGATTCACACATTGCTTGAGCTGATTCTAATAGTAATTCACCTGTTATAGGATAGCAAGTGTCTTAGTTGAGTGTGCCATAGTTGGATACAGGGTAAGACTGACATTTCAGGCAGTCAGACAAAGAGCTGCTTGACTTAGTTGTGCACACAGAAGTTTGCTAGCACATACAAGCCCTTGTGCATGAATCACATTATTTTCTGCCTAACTGCCTGGTTTGCACAGCAAATGCTACCTACCTTTCTGATACCACATTTGCTTTTTTCACAAAACAAATGCAGTTAAAATATTGTGCTTTTGTGTTTTTTCTTTAATCTGTCCCACATATATATATATATATGTACAATATTATGGTCGGTTTACAGTGCTGGCAATAGTCATTTCAACTTCTTTTCCTTTTTTTTCTTTTTTTAGTAATTTTGTAACAGAAAATCCACTTCCACATACAATTCAATATATATCCTGGTCACCTGTTGGACACAAATTGGTCAGTAAAGATAATGATGTGCTAAAATAATGTTACTTTTTGAAAAACAGAATAGATTTATTGCTTATGTATGTTTGCTTAAGCCCTATTTTGACAGGACTTTAAACTGTGTTTATCAACCATACTTAATACAGATAACAGTTTATCTGATCAATGTGGAAGTGGGAGAACCATTATAGAACAACTTTATTCTAGCCTAAAACTTATGTTTTAACTTCTTGTAAACAGTAAATGATACTTAATTAGCTATTGCCCCATTATTTCTTTTGTCAAGAACTTGCACATTGCTCATGGTTAAGACATTTTCTTAGTAAAACACTGACAAGCAAATGCACTCTCACTGACCTCCATATCTGACAATGGGAGAAGAGAGGTCAAACAGGCTGCACGCTCCATCTAGGAATTTTGAGTGCTGTTTTGTTGGTCATTTAACATATAATTGACATTTTACTTGTATGTTATTAAAGTGAACATTGGTACTATTAAGAGACACACTTTTTCAGGAAAATCCTCATATTTTAGCAGTCCCAGCACACCATAACGCCCATTGATTTTTCTAACAGTTTGGGATGAGCAAAGGGTACAGGATCAGGCTCCTTTTTTCTAACAGAAATGGACAAATGTGGTCAAGTAAAATAAGAACCTTGGCCCAAATCTCAAAGTGAATCTGAATCGATTCTTTTCTGAAGTTCCAATAAAGTCTGATTTCCTTTAACATTTTTATATTATAGACTCATGGTTTATCCTATGCTTGCTGGTCTGAGCTAGGACCTGAAGCAGAAATACCAGAAATCTCACAAAAAAGCCTGGTCACCTGAAATTTCTAGCTCAGTTGAAAAGATACAAGAATTTCAGAAAGTTTGAATGAGTTTCAAAGAGGATGCTAACTTTTAGGTGCTTATTCAAACTAAACTAAATCCTTTGAGACTCATTTATGACTAATATCTCAGATATTTTTTCATTCAGTGCCTTTGTGTACTTTCCAATATAACTAATGGAAATTAGATACCTGCATCAACAGTTTAACAGTTTAAATATAGTACTTTTTCATAATGACAAAAAATTACATGGTGTTATTGTAGATTTATACCGGTGTAACTGAAAGAAGAATATGGCCTTCATATTATAATTTTCTTTTATTAGATCAAATTCAAACCTAGTCCCAAGAGAGATACTAGGTTGCTGGGAAAATTTGCAAAGACTCCATTTCTAATTTTACTTGACTCAAGATTTCAAGATTTGGCCTATTATAATGTATAATGTATACACAATAGCATTGACTATAGAAAATTTGGTCAGATCTTTTTTTTAAATATCAGCGTACATATTCCTAACAAATACATTCTCATCTTTAGGCATATGTTTATCAGAATAATATCTATCTGAAACTATATCCTGAAGATCTACCTATTAAAATAACTAATAATGGAAAAGAGAATGTAATATTTAATGGAATTCCCGACTGGGTCTATGAAGGTAAGTTAATATTGAAAACTGCATTAAAAAAGTCTGGGTTTGGTCAGAACTCAGATGGGAGAACACCAAGCAACCTCAAAGTGCAGCAAGAAACAGTGCTAGTGGTTTAGTATTTTGAAATCTTCTAAGGCAATAGTAAGCCTGGTGTGCCTATCAACTTGGTAACTAAGCATTACCCATAAATCACCAAATGACAGTCCCAGTTTCAAATGAGATGTGAAATCAAGAGTCTGTGGTTAACCAAGATAACATGGAACATTTCATCAGAGTAGAAATGTTAAGTGCTGTGTCCTGGCTAAATTTCAACTCAGGAAACTACACTCTCTCCAGTTAAATTTTGCCTATAGCTTCAGTTAGATAAGTTACTTCTCATTTCCCCTCCTAAGATTTCTGGTGTTGTGCAAGTGGGTGCTGTATTTAGAGTCTATATTTTACTACATTTCAGTTGTGAGTTTCTGTCAGGCTCGGACATCTGTACTTGGACAATTTTTACTGGGGA